TATTTGGTTTATTAGTTAAACAAAACTAGAAAAAAGAAAAGCTTCTTGATAGCCCCACCTTAAGTAGAAATTAAATTATAATTAACTTAGCTTAATTTAATTTAATTAATTGTATCTAAATGGGGACCAAAATGATGAGATTAATTCACATGCATCGAAATGTGGACAGTTTAAACCACCAAAACTTTGGTTGACAAGCATGTGACTTGCTACGAGGTTGACTCAAAATCTCGAGCTGTGATCACACTAACACTAACACACACTCTATATATATAATAAGGTAATAAAAGATTAGTTTATGTAAACAAGATTAATTGATAATCACATTAAGATAAATTAATACCAATAAAATTGCATAGAAAAAGGGTTTCGTGCTTGTGGGGTTGCTTAATCATTCTTGTTTATTGCCTCCAAAGCCACCCATGTGAAAGAACATTCTTTTGAGATAATGTCATTCTTGGGCCTTACCATTCTCACATTTCCTTATTTATTTTATTTTATTTTTTTCTAATTTAATTTAATTTATATTTGTTTCTTTAGTTTCTCCAAAAAAAGCCAGCTAAGATTTGCAATATTCAACATTTCTAGTTCTCTCTCTGTCTCTCTCAATCTCATCTCTTTGGATTTGCCATTTTTTTTTCTTTTTTTTTTTGTGGAACATAATTTAATGGGGCTTGGAGACATGTTGACCCTTTGCTCTCTTTTTTTTTTTTTTTTTTAATTGGCCACATTTTGGGTTGGAATTGAAATTCTTTTGACAATATTTTTATGAGGAAGGTGCATTTAGTTCAATGTTCGGTTGGGAGGGTGATATTACTTAATGCACAAAGAGAGAAAGAAAGAAGAAAAGTTTATGATTTTACATCCTTTTGTTTGGTACAAATTATATTAATTTGTATTAGGAAGCAAGACAAAGATGGGAAGTTATACCAGGGAACACAAATAAATGCTCTTTGAATGATACACGATTTAAAAATTTGTTAAGATTAATAAATCTAATCGACATAAAATGAGTATCATATGACACGAACCTATTGCAACACACGAAATTAAAGAATTTGCTTTTGGATATGTAGGTTTATAATAAAGATTAACATGGGTTGTCTCAGACATTATCAAATGATACATAATTTAACAATCCTAAGCAACGACCCTCCAATTGAAAATATTTTGACCAAGATTAATATGATTGATTTAAAACGAGTATCATATGTCGTATATGGGCCCATTTCAACATGCAGAATTTAAGAACTTGTTTTTGGATGCATAGGTCCAAATGATTAACATGAGTTGTGAGGCAAGACCCTTGTTTAGGAATTGATCAAATAGTGTTTAATGTTTTTGGTTAATCACTTGAAATGACACAAAATTCGACAGATTTGAATGATGAGTCTCAAATTTAGAACATTTCAGTCGATATTAATCTGATCAATATAAATGTAAGTGTCGATCATATATGACGTACACAAACCTATTTTCAATACGCGAAATATAAGAATTCACGTTGTGATACGTAGGTCCATATAAGAGATTAACATGAGTTGAAGGACAAGAAGCTTGTCCCGGACATGATAAAATAGTGTCCCCTTAAGCTTTGTGTAAAAGCCAGAACCCTCTCCCACAGTTCCAAGCTGTTGCCAAACATGAACTCCATAAAGATTTGTCTGGTCCATGTTCTGGTTTCTGAATCCTGCAACCTTATTATTTTAAATTTATCATTATTTTTTTTTTATAAATTTAATTTTCCAAAATCCACTAGGATCTAAAACTTTGCTAGCAAAATCTGGCCTGACCCATTTCTAAGATTTGCTATCTTTTTTCCTGGTTTCATTTGGTAGCTTTAATGATTTTCTAGAGTGCTTGATAGTCAGGATTTGGTTTTAAGTTTGTTTGGTTGAAGAGAAAGTGACGGAAAATGTAAGAAAGTATAAAGGGAATTAAAGCTATATTATTACTCAACTACGCTACAGTTATATTATGATATATTATTAATCAATTTTTTGTATCATTATAATAATTAGGTTTATTTCTCGTGTTAGCTACAGCCTATTATTATATAATAAGATTAATTTTAATTGTGCATCCATTAATATTAGGATTTGGGACAAGTGTAAATGTTTTGGAATTTGCAACTCCAAAGTTTGAATTTGAAGTGCCCTTGACTTATTACAAGCTTTTAAAATTTGCTTACTAAGCCCAAATTTATGTGGGCTTCTTAAGTAAAGCCCAATTCATATAAGACTAGTGTTATATGAGCCATCTAAAACTCTCTCCAAACTCTTATTTTTAGTAAATTGATTAAATAAAATTATATTTCCAAAACAGCTTTAAAGGGAATATAAATAATGGTTCCGACTTTTAGAAGAATTCTATGTAATACCAAATTCTATAATTCTATTCTACCCCAAACATTCTACGAACAAAAATAAGAACTACTAGTTTAGTTGCTTTTTTTATCGATTTTCTGTAGCAAATGAATCGTGTAAATAGTTAAATGTTTATTAAAAAAAAAAAAAAAAAAGAGATGATAAAACTTTACTGAAGAAATTCCCTTTGATACTTTATGCAATATAAGTAAACTATTTTGATGTTTTGTAGATTAACAATTTTCTATTTTATTGGGGGTTCCAGAAATTGGTACGAAATTTAATGTTAACAAAAAGAGATGGAGATAAGGAATAATTCTAGGAAGAAGATAAGGCTAATCATGGAATACACTTTATATTAGCTTTATTTACGAAATTTTATTTAATTTAGAAAGAATTTTAATGGGGTTCAAATAACTAACGGGACTTAAACAACAACACTATATTTTTTGTTGAAATATTATAATAATGCTTGTATTCCATAATTAGCCTTTGTCTTTTTCCCTAAGGTACATAGTGAATGAGTGATGGGAACAGTAGACAAAAACTAAAACGACATAGTAAATAACCAACAATTTTACCCTTTCAATGGGTGCTAAATTTAACAAAATTAAAATTGAAAAGACAAAATACATTAAAAAAAAAAAAAAAACCCTAAATGACTATTATTATATCATAAATACCTTATTCAGTTAAGAAAAAAATTATCCTTAGAACATCTTCAATAGTACTCTTTATTTTGAAGAGCATCTTTCATATAAATAAAGAATATTTTCATTAATTTTTAAATATAAAAAATACAATTTTTATTCAAATGTAATAGACTCTTTAAATTTAATGAAGAAGCTCTTTATTTTTAAGAAAGAGACTTAATAGGAGAGAAAATTAATAAATAAAATGTATAAAAACTTATAGTTTATTAATTAAAATTAGAATAGAGAGTGAAATTTGACTCTCTAAATGTGGAGAGTCAAACTCACTCTCTAATTTATATTTTAAAGATAAAAAAATCTATTGGACTCTTGTTTTTATGAATAGACTCTTTATAATAAATAGTTTTAGTCATATAAAGAGTCATTTGAAGATGCTCTTAATCTCAATACTTAAAACGTTAGGTCATGATATTGTTTTAACTTAATTTTTGACATTTCTTATAAACCGTTTATTTTATTTTTCCAATGGAATTAAACAGTGCAAAATTGACATTAAATTTTACTACTTTAAAAATCTGTCTTATTTTACAATTGGATTAACACAATTGAATATATAAAATTACGTCAAAATTTTAAGTCACAATATCCGAAAACCCAAACTTTAACTACTCAATATCCACTTAAAACTAATACTTACTTTAGAAACTATAACCAAAATTCACTTTTTATGAGACGTCAAATTAACTAATTAAGCAAACCTTTTAGATAAGAAAATAAAAAAAATAAAAATCATGATAAAAAAGTTTCTTTTTAACTTATTAAAAAACAATCTTAATGGATATTTAGAGCATCATCAAATCACTCTTTAATAAATGGCTTAAACTCTTTATTATAAAAGTTTGACTCATATAAATAAGAGTCCAACGGACTCTTTATTCTTTAAATATAAATTAAAGAATGAGTTTAACTCTCTACATTTAAAGAGTCAGATTTCATTTTCTCTTCTAATTTTAAATAATAAAAAGTGATACTACACCAATAATCTTTTCTCACAAATTTTCTTTCAAAACCTAGACGTGATAACTTGCAATTAATTAGTAAGATTCATGCGAATCTATTTGAGACCCATTGTGAATTAACCAATTGCGAACTGTCACGTCAAGGTTGTAAAATAAAGTTTGCGAGAGAGAATTGTTGATGTAGTATTATTCAATAATAAATTATAAGTTTCTATATATTTTATTTATTATTTATCTCCCCTATTAAGTTTCTTTATTAAAAAAACTTATTCTCTCTCCTAAAACTTAAAGAGTCTATAACATTTCAATAAAAATTTTGTTTTTTATATTTAAAAATTAATGAAGATGCTCTTTAAAAAAAACTCTTAATAGTGTTCACCTAAAACTAAGAAAACCTTAATATTGGTTCGTTTGTTTCATTTTTTTTTTCCACTATCTTATCCTATCCAAATATATATTTGTTTTAATATTCTCAATTCTCTTCAAAATTCAATCTTATTCTATTCAACTTAAAACATTAACAGTTATCTTTCTCAATAAAAGTTTTAAAATTAACAAAATTACACTTACCCACCCAAACTACTATCACTCGCCAATCGCCACCGTAACAACGCACAACAGGTTGGATCTGATTGATCGTGTACCGATTTGTCTGATCTGGCCATATCCACCATGAATCTAGCAAAAAACAACTAAAGATCTAGCCATTGACGATGACACGACCCAATTTGGTTGTCAATGACCAAATTTGTGGTTGTAGATTTGGCCGTTTCTAACCAAATCAATGCATAATTGACCAGATCTAACTGATCATGTACTATTCCAACCACTTTCAAACGATGGTGGCCAACTTCCGACAATATGTGGGTGAATAAGAGTGCTTTTATCAATTTATAAACTTTTATTGTGAAAGATGTTTAGTTAAGTTAACAAACCTAGAAGGTTAAAAATAATCTACATATTTTTAAAAAATGCTATTAAAAAATGTATCATAAGCTTCTCAAAATCGTATCTTATTTTATAGAAATGCTATTCAGCATAGAATGCTATCCTAAAAAATCATGGGAGCCTGCAATTTCTGTATCCACACTAAATCCTTTTCCTTAATAATCTCAGCAGCTGGCCCATGTTAAAACTGCAGGGCAAATTTAAGTTGCATGACTACTCGCCATTGATCCAAATGCTCAACACTTATGGGAAGTATCAATAGAAAATGACATAATGATACAAAATGAACTGAAAGCCTCCGAGCAGATATTCCACAACCTTTCTGCTAATAAGCATACGGTAATATTCTCCAAGGAACAAGTCTACAGTATTCTGCCCATATTTCTCTATACTTCTCTGCACAGCGAACTTCATCTCTTCTCTCTCTCCATATTAGCAGAATAAGAAGATAAATAGGGTAAAAATATGGAACCGGTGAACTGCAAAAGGAGTGAATCTCAGAGTGGAAGTTGCACACTAGTTAAATGTACAAGACTGTCATTATATAAAAGTTAAAAAATTTGAAATTTACCTTATCCCACAAGGTAAACTGAAGGACAACGCCAGCAATAAGTCCCCAAGGTAATTACAGTGCCTCGCCACTCCCCTTCAAAAAATTATCACAGTATATAAGATGCGGCATCAAGAACTTGGACTGTACCAACATTCAAGAGATAAGAAAGGCTACCCTTTGGGAGGATGCCTAAAGTCAAACCTACGGATGTCTATATCCCTAAAGGTTATCTTCAAGTAGACTCCGTAATCTTTCTAATGCAGAGATCCAAGAAGGTGTCACAAAATAATGACACTACATTCAATGTTGTTAATATCTTAGATATTCGTAAGATTATGAGATTTCGTAGCATGGGTCTGCATTTCATCCATTTCGGCATGTTGCAAGTAGGCATTAGACCTCTTAAGTTGAAAAACACATTTACAATTTTTTCTTTATTTGATAGAAGACGCTTGCCAAGCATTATGATCCATTTCCAAGAAAGGAATCCAACCCACTTAGGGGTAAAAGCCTAAATGGGTTAAGACACAGCTTTGCATCTGCAACCCAAACCCATGAATTTGACCGGGAAAAAGAGAACTAAGCACCAAAGATGACTGACTACTTCAAGCACAATATCAAGAGACATGCCACTGAAAACACCTAGGACTAGGAGTCTTCAAGGACAACCAACAATTTCCTAATATATAGTAGGGGAAAAAAATGTCTGTTGTCCCCTCTACCGATGCCAATCCTTAACAAGGAGGAAATATGAGAAATTCTACATTGTTCAGTTGAATCATTAGTACTGACACCAGATGCAACTTGCAAGCACGAGTTCCTAGCAGAAATGCCACAGCATTGAGCTGCCACCTTCATGCAAATGATAGAACTGCAAACAATAGAATAAGAGATGCAGAACAAGGATAAAATTGCAGGTTCAGTCAAGAGAGAAAAAATTTGACCTGTTAGCAATATGATAAAATTCTTCGTTCACATCTAAGTCCTTTAGAAATATGCTCTAACCAAATCATTACAGAGCCCAAAATGGGTTAGCTTGTTCACTCAGATTATGAAACTTTCATTGAGAAATCATTTAACAACAAACTAGCGTTAAATGAAGTACTATAACTGCATTAACTCTTAATTTACATTCCAATATTTTTTTTCCTATTTCTGATTTCTGTTTAGACCTCAATAAAAAAATTACTTTGTCATGATACCATTGATAAGGACAAAAGATGAAATTACAAGGGATGTATTGGAAATCTCACCAATAACCAGAAGCAAGCAACTTGCCCCCAATAACCTTGGGAGGCTTACCCCAAATATGTGCCTTGGGATTCTTTTTGAAGATGTGTTTTTGCCTGTTAGCTCCTCTGAATACCAGATATCTGCACAGTTTTAATATTAAAGGCACAATCTTAAAAAAAGTTAAGTCAGTTTGAAGCAACAAAGTACTAACTATACGTCATTGACATTTACCCAATCAAAAACACTAAACAATTTGCTACAACAGCAGCAGTTGTAAGCTCCACCTTGTTATGCAAAAGCCACCAACCCTGCAACAAAGAAAAAGACGTTCAATTCATTAAAAGTTTAAAACCAATTGATATTATATATGGACAGGATTAATATTTGTACAAAACCATTAATGTTTCTTTGAGATTCTGGATTGACCATATTAAGAATTGCACAAGGAGGCTCAAAAAAGTCTGACCAGGCTTGGATGCAAGGTTTAAGGTAACCATGAATGAGAATTGAGCTCTAACAGAGAAAATAAGGATTGAGAGGCCTGTTCAATCACAATGTTCAAGCAGAATTACTCCTGAACTCAACAGCAAGAGAAGCGAGTGATTGGATTGGCCCAAAAATTGATGCTAAAATACAAGTTGGACCTATATTTCTCAAACTACTTTGGAAGGTAAGGAATTGAGTCGCTCCATTTTCTGTTATTCAAAAGGAGTCCTAAATTAATGAATATGAACTTCAGTTCTGCCCAGATGTTATTATGGAGCCACATGATATGGCATTAACATGATAGACATAACAACCAAGATATGATAATAGACACAATATTGCTCGCTTTCTGATTTACAGGATCCAACAAGAGTGGCAACTACCAAACATTCTCATTTGCAATGGAAACACTGATTAGGATGGAATACACACAGTTATATTCCAATGAATAGAAAACCATCGCATGGATAGGAAGATAGAGAGATGATGGTGCCTGAACAACTTCAAGCTCCCAAATCTAGTGTTCTCCGACAATGCTTGGAATCAAGTGTCTAATCGTTACCACCATGCCTCCACCTCATCTAGTTTTGCCTAGTCCTATCCATGTTTTTGCAACTGAGGGGCAGCTAAGTTGTTGCCAAAAATATGGCAATAATCTCAATAAAGCTGCTCCAATTCAAAGTCTTCAAATTCACTAGAGTTAAGGGATTGGCTCTCATTGATCAATATCTACTTTTTTGGCTTTAGGAATCTCCAAATTGTGGTAAGGAAGAGTTTGAAAAGTGTATCCATAGTCTGCAAATAACTTCCTTTCAATGGTTTCGCAATATGGCTTGTCCAGATACAAGTGATAGTGATCAACCATGCATATGACCGGCCAACAAAATAATCTACATCTTGAGGCATAAACAATTGTAACAGCTATTTCAAATACAGTGCCTCTCCATGGTTTCATCCAAGCATTGCACTTGAATACAACTACCATGGAAAATTTTTGAGTAGGTAGTAGAGACCAATAATTGTATCTTGGTTTATCTAAGTGTTTCTAAGATAATTATGGTTTTCAAAGGGAATATGAGATCTAGAAAGATGTCAAGGAACCTAATCTCTAGATGTCACCCCTGAGTCGAAAAGATTTCCAATTATTTGTTCTCTATGTGTGTGTGCAAGGGAGAATCAATAGAGTAATCTCAGATAGAGTACAAAATTCAGATCCTTCCCAGAAATTTTCAAATAACAATTATATATTTCTGCATTGATATTTTTACCAATGCAAGATATGTGACGCAAAGACTTTCAGTAGACATATCAGGACTTCCAACATAGTAATGACAAAGAGAATTGAGAAAACTTATGCCCTTTTGAGAATTGATCTTTGTTTTGTGAAACAAAGGAGTCCATTTTATATTTTGTAAATTTTGCAATGCCTTTTAGTTTATAATAAAAAGATTGATCAAGCATACAAGGAAATATGCAGTGCATATACATACAAGAAAGCTTTAAGAACTAAAATTTTGAAATTAAAAAGAGAGAGAGAGAGAGAGAGAGAGAGAGAGAGAGAGAGAGAGAGAAAACAACAAGAAAGAGGATGCTTTCATTCTCTATTTAACAGTTACATGCCTGGATGCTAAAAGTGAAAGGAATCTAGACTAGATCAGACTGAACATACAAGAAAATATTAAGAATTAAATTTTTCAAAAAAATAGAAAAGAGAAAATGAAAGAGATGCTTTCATGCTTTAGTTAATAGTAACATGCCTGGATGCTAAAAGTGAAAGGAATCCAGACTAGATCCCCAAATACCAACATGAAGCCTAACCTCTCAGCTATTATGTCCCACCTGTAAAAGCAACCATCTACAAACAGATCAGATATGTAACTTAAATCATATAAAAATGACCAGCCTACAACTTCAAAATAATTCAACAGAACTTAAGGGATCAGAATAGTGAAACTTCTCTGGTTGGATCTATAAGATGGATTTTATCCAAAATAAAGAAAAACGACATTGCATTACTTGATCTACACTATATATATATTTTTAATTTATTTTCTTTTCTTTCTTCTTTATTTACCCATTTCTACTCCCTTATAGATCATATGGTGTGGCATAGCAAACCAGTAAATATTTGATTGTAAGGGCAATAAATAATAGCAGTAGACCCTTCCAATTCCAAGAATATACAGCAACAAAACAAAATAAATAATTGTCATTACTGCTTCCAATATATTGTCAAGCACATGAATAGCATACTATAATCAGAAGACAGAAGAAGAGCTTTCCATGATGAATATAGTAACCAACTATGTTCACTTTGAAACTACAGCTTGAAAATATTTTGACGATCATGCCAAAGGGATACAAGTAATACACTTACGTGGAGGTCATGTACTCCTCATGAACAAAGTAGTCCAGGATGTACAACTGGAACAAAATATAGAAAGAAAGAATACTTAGCAACGACTAATGACATGTAAAATATTGAAAAAGAAATGTGTATTACTTAGCATCAGCAAAATTACCCCACAGAATAGCTGGTAGAGGATCATTGATTGTGATAAGGTGCCATTTTGAAAACTTTTTGCCAGAACTGATAAATTGATAAGTAGCCATCCCATCATTCCAGCTCTAACAAAGAAAAATCTACAGAGGATATACCATTATCATTAGAATTGAACAGCATGTCCAAATATATTTTACATCTTAATCAATAAAAGAGATTTAGAATGTTACAGTAACCATCATTCATAGGAGTGTCAAATACTTTAAACCATCCTAATCATTATTAAGAAATACGATAATTCTCATCTATACATTCAAGCAAAGGCCGAACTATCAATCTCTGCACTACACTGCAGAGTCACCATCCAGTTCAAATTTGAGAATTATAGTTCAGCCTTCCTAAAAGAAACTATAATCACATGAGTTCTCAAAATATAAGGCTATGAAATAAAATTCTTATAGACAAATCAACAAGGAAACTTTCCCAGAAAATTGAAGAGGGATTACATACTTGAGATCAATGCCCATAAACTGAGGATTCAGCTGTATTCCAAACCACCTAAAGAATTACATACAAGGTAAAAATATCAAGACTTTAAATAAAGACTGTTAAAAATGACCAAACAGACAAAAAAGAAAGTATTTGACATGGACACTAACTTTTCCATTTTCAGTTACATGAATTGATAATTCAGTTTACAAAATAAAAAGGTTCTTTGAAAACGATTAAATTAAAAGGGCAGTAGTTGTCTCAAAAACCAGATAGGATAAATGATTCAGAGAAACATTTATATGCTTTAGAACATATGTGTAATATGTTATTTATCCAATACCAGTCATGTAGAAGGTTTCCTGTGACATGAGGCTTCAGGGAAGAACCCTGATTGTGCGACCTGCACCCAGTAACAAAGAGTACCCATGTCACCTGGCATAAAATAGAAAAGGCAAATGCAACAACTGATTAGGAAAGCAAAAGAAAGAAAATGTGATTTAATAATAAATAAAAATTAGAGGGAATCAATTCTGGCAGATACCATAATGTTAGCTCAACTATAAGACTTACAGCCATGCAATTAAAAACTATATTAGGACCAAAATATTGAATTGAATTCCCTCTTAGTAATCAATTAATCAACATGATTGCAAACAACAATGGAGGTCATGGCCTCGCCAAGGTTGAAATAGATAAAAGACAGTAAACAAAAGAAATGAAAAATTGCTTGTCTATACTGAGATCATTTTTTTCCACGTCTCTTTAGAGATCAATGAGGCACGCAGCATCTTTTAAGTACCAGCAGAACTTTCTCAATCAACTCATTTTAGCAAAGCACAAATTAATCTGCATATAATAAATCAAGTTTTAAACATTTACAATCTACACGGTTGAGGTTGTGGCTCTATGGAGACACCACAAATTATAATTAAATGATTTGAGTCGGAATGCAAATTCAACCTCGCTGAACTTAAACTTGAAGAAAGATGCTGACACATAATGGTTACCAATTAAATGCATATGTATATTTCATTCAATAACTACAAAACAGACAGCCACATACCAAACTTTCCAGGCACCAAAGAAGAAACCTCAGCACTTACAAGAAAACCAAACATTAAAGTTGTTGATAGCAGCTCAAATCCTCTATCTGATATCACCTACAAGATCATCATAAATTAGAGCACATGTCTGCACATATACATTATGCACATAATCAACTTAAGTAACCAATCAAAGAAGTAATTGTTGCCTATTCAGCTTTCTAGAATGCATTTCAAGTTCACATAAAAGCCAAATAACACACTAAACCTAATTTAATGAGAAAAAAGACAAAAATATGCACCATCAAAATCAAGTCCAATGAGGATTGTCCAAACATTTCATATATGCTTACAAATTTGACTTTTACCGTTTCACCTGACAACGACTACTCTGAGTTTCAAAAATACTCATGACATAGCATACAACATTTAAAAAACTGTATTTCAAGTCAGATACACTGCCTAAATGTTTATTCAACATCATACTATACTATTTACAAATTATAACATAATAAAACCCACAAAGCCATAAGTAATTTTGGGAATTGAAGACGACTATATAATTACAAGCCAGTGGATAAACATGGAGTAGCAAATACTTACAGTGGGTGATACGAAATCCATCTGGGCACCAATTCCAAGTAGCGCAACCAACAATACAAGCAACAACAAACCTACTACAAAACAATAACCCATTTGAAACATAAAAAAATACAAAACATAACACATCAAAATTCTAAAGAACTTGTGCAAATGAGTAAGGAAACAAATAATTAAAACAAACCATTGCATCGATAACGAAGTCGAGTGCCATCTTGTAATACAACCCCCTTCACAACTTTACCAGGTAAAATAGATCCAGCAGTTGCCAAGTACAAAAAATATGTCATTAAAACAGCAACCTGCATACAATACACAGACGGGTTCTTGACAGAAATTTGGATTTACTGAATGATTAGCTTGTCTTAAAAAAAGACAAAGTACTTACGGAGTTTAGTGAAGGAATAAAAGCGTGTAAAGGAATAGCCAAATCCATCTTTAGCAATTGTAGAAGCAATAACAATAATACTTTGGTCTCTACTGAAACAGCAAAATTTGAAGTGGCTGGTGTGTTGCTTTTTGTTTCAAAGTAGATGATAAGGAACTAAATACTGCACCACCACTGGTTTTTGAAATTAACACTGACACCCCTGAAATAATTGAACATAGTTAAGTCAGCACCATCCCTTCTAAAATCACAAACTCAAATCACAATGCAGAATAAAAATAAATCAAAGTAAACATATAGGTGGGTTTTGTTTGGAAGTTTACTGGTGTCACCATGAAAGAGAGAGGAGTTTTTCTTCAACTTTGTTCAAGATCGTGTTGTTTCAAATACTAGGATATAAACGCCTAAAACTAACAGCCATTACTGGAATCTTTACTCTCACCCAGCAGAGATTATACAAAGACAGTAATACCCTCCAGCTGAGACTGACTGGAAAGAGTTCAACAATGTATACTAGATTGCAAATTAATGTTTGACATAATCCACATTTTCCATGTGAAACTGCATCTAATTACAGAATAATACTATGTGAAACAAACAAATACCAAAACAAAATCATATCAAACACTTCGCAAATATGACACATTACCCTAAAATCCCTAAATAAGAAATACGATAATAAAATTGTTTACTACAATAAACAAAAATAACCAACAATATCATGGCAACGATATGTGTTTAATATTAATACAGAACAAAAATTTGCAACATTTTTGTCAATCCTAGCTACTACATTAACTAACATACAAGTCAAATATTTGGGAAATATGAACCCTAAAAACAATCAAACAAAAGATTGACAACAATACTTCCATCCAAAATCACAAATAATCGATTTAAAATTAACTCATTGTTATTTCCACACCAAAACATTAACTTAACACTAACGAACCGAAATGCGGCCAAGCTTGAATCCATGGGGTAATGGTTTTGTCCTTCTATCTTTTTCCACTTCATTCATTCTCTAGGAAAATTCTCTGTTATACAACTTCATCCATATTCAAGATCAAATTTCTTCAAAAGCTCGACTCATGAGACGTGATCCCTTCCAAGATTCAACTCCCAATTTCTTTTTCTCCAAATTATAATAATATGGTAAATAAAATAAGGGAGAACAACATTTTCCTACCCAAGGTTTAGTGAAATACTTTTTCCCCCCTTCAAGTTTCAAAACGACACTTTTCCACCCACTGTTATGTTCTGTCAGGAAAATCTGTAACTATATTACTATAAAGACAAAAACACCCTTTACTATTTGACTTAATAATTCTATTACTAATTAAAATTTGACTAACCAATGAAATGTCTTTTTTACCTTTATTAATAATTATCTAAATAATACATATTCGAAATCTTCATTATTCACCTTTAACTTTAAATTAATCCACAAAACCCCCATTATTAAAGCAACTTCAATTAATAAAAAATTAGTATCAAATTAATAAAAAAATTAAACTTAATCTTTATTGCAACAAAATTTACAGAAGTCTTCAAAATAGATTTCAAAAAAATCTTACAAAAAAGATTGTACACAAAATTGCATCTTAAAGAGATGAAGTGAAAGTTGCAGATGAAGAAGTTTGGTAAACTAGGAATTGCAGCTCTTTTACGGATGCGCATGAACTATTCGAGTGAATGACTATTGCAGTCTTCCAGTCTTTCATTCAACCAAGATTTGCAGAAACTATTAACTCCCATTAATTCAAACTCTATCCCAGATTCATCCAGATTCGCTAGAAAAAATCACCTCCCATTCATTCAAACACGATTGAAATTCATCCCCCATCTTAACACCACATTCAAAATTCATCCTCCATCTCAACTCCATAATCAAATTCGTCTTACGTCTCAACTCCATAATCAAATTCATCTTACATCTCAACTAAACAATCATAGTAATAATAAGCAAAAGAGAAGAGAAAAAATAAAATAAAAAATAAAACCCATAAAATCCATTAATAAAATCTATGAAAAAGAAAAATGAAATTGTTCTTGTCTCGGTAACGACCCACATGATGTGTAGCGGAGAAAAATAATGCTGCCCAAGCCATGGATTTGAAGCATTGCTCTATTTTGAGTCCTTCAAATTTCATACAAAATATAAAGACTTGTCACAGTTTAAAGGTCGGTCATTAGGATATCAAGGATGAACTATGGCATGAAGAAGAGGCCTTGAAGAAGAGAGAAGTCGCGTGGCTGAAGGTTGTGACACCGCCAACCCAGTTGGCGGTTGCAGGTTACACCGGTGTCGCAGCCTCCGGCATAGAAGGGAGAGATAATGGCGAAGAAAAGATAAAAAAAAAAAAAAAAAGAAAAAAAGAAAGAGAAAGTAAGCAAAGGAAAAGAAAAAAGAAAGTCAAAAGCTTTTGCGGTTTTATGTAAATTAACCATCCTACCCTTATTTGAAACGGATTTTCTTAATAGAACATAACGATGGGTGAAAAAGTTTATTAATTAAGATATTATAAAAATTGGTAATGTTTCATATTCGTATATATAGACTTTTATATATGTTTTAGATGATGATGATGATGATAGCGTTAATAATATTATTAATATTTGAGTATGCCAATATTTGTTTGTTGTTAATTATATATAAAAAATGCAAGAAAATAGATGTAACACCTCATTTTTCTTATAATACATACTATGTAAATTATAGATATACATAGCGTATGAAAGATAGTGGGCTCAAATTTTTCTTTACTTATAAAAATTAATTCTTTACAAATACAAAATACTATGTATTAAAAACTTTCTAATTAATACAAAATATCATAGATGATGTACAGTGGTGCCAATACTCTCCGCTCCTCGACGTCCATCCGACCGTTGCTCCTATTTCCTGCAAAATAGAGAAGAACAACGGGGTGAGCACAACAATGCTCAGTAAGTAAATCTTCTACTACCTGTCCCCGCAACTCACTCTTTGGTTCTTTCCTTACTCTACCGTTCTTCTATTTCTAATTCTCACTGTTTTTCTCTTTCTTTCTAATACTGTTATTCTCCTTTAACTCTGTTCTACTCTTTTTATTCTTGCTTCCTTCTGTTCTTATTCTCTTTTCTCCTTGTCTTATTCTTACTCACCATGAAGGACAATCATGGTTCTCTCTTATTCTCATTATACTCACCATGAAGGAAAATCATGGTTCTCTCTTATTGTCATCATACTCACCATGAAGGAAAATCATGGTTCTCTCTCTTATTCTCGTCATACTCACCATGAAGGAAAATCATGGTGCATGTCTGTATGAGCTGTACATGCAATTAATACAAAAGAACTGCATGTTTCTTTCTTCTACTCTCTATTCTTACTAGCTCAAACTCTCTCATTCTTTCTCATACTCTCTCTTTCTATCTCATTCTTTCTCAAGCTTTCTCATTCTTTAATTCTTTCTATTATCTCATTCTCATTTCTCATAATTCATTTCTACTAACTCGCTCTTTGAATGTCACGGCCTCATCTTACCGGAGGCACGATCGGGACTTCTCTCACTCTACGTGACTTCTACTGATTCTCTTTCTGTCTCTATTTCTCATAACTCTTTTCTGTTAGCTTTCTGTTGTAGGTTACGGCCTCATCTTACCGGAGGCACGTTTGGGTAGTCATCCCACTCTTCGTAACCCTACTCATTGTCTCTCATTATTCTTTCTCATGTTTGCTCATCTCTTTCTCAAGCTGGTACTCATAATATAGCTTAACTCTTAGCTTTTCTCATCTATGTTCTCTTTCTGTTTCTGTTTCTCATATTCTTTGCTATACACCCTCTGGTGTATGTCACGGCCTCATCTGACCGGAGGCACGACCGAGCACTCAACCCGCTTTTCGTGACTTTACTCTTTTTCTCTTTCTATTCTTTCTCTTTCTGTTCTTTCTCATTCTTATTCATTAGAATGTCACGACCTCATCTGACCGGAGGCACGGCTGGGCGCTACCACTCTACGTGACTTCTGCTCATTTCTCTATCGATCGGATTTAGTCATGCATGGATTCGAAACCTTTGGCCACGTGAGTGTATTCCCTCTCTCTCTCTAAATGTCAAGGCCCCATCTTACCGGAGGCACGGCTAGAACCTCATGTTCCACTCTGCATGACGGTCACGGCCTCATCTGACCGGAGGCACGACTGGGGATCACAAAGCACCCACTCTCATGACTCTACTCATCACTCACAGGTTCCCTATTGCACAACTTACTTTATTCTCTTCTTTAACTCTTGTGCACAAGATCTCTACTTTTTCTCTAGCTACTCATCATATTGTAGCTTAACTCTTAAAGTAATTCTGTACTCTTTCTCACTTTTTCTCAAGTTCTTTCTCAATCACACTTAATGCATATGGATGATTCATGCTCATTAATGCACTTAAGAAATGCCAATATGCAATGTTGCAATAATTAAGGTTCATAACTCATTCTCATGCTTCTCTTAGGCATTTCATCAAACAACTCATGTGCATATCAAACTCTTCTCTAACTTCAACTCTATTTCTCTCTTTAACCATCCAAAATTGGAAGTAAACTCCCTTCCATAGAAGAACACTCCCAAAATATATACTCTATCTCATCTAACTTCATCTCAACTCATCACACATCTACACTCCTTATAAAGGAGAAGTATTCAACAAACTCAATACTTATCTCAATTTAATTTCTCAACAAGTAGACATATATCTTTACTCAATTTCTCAAATATATATATAAAACATGCATACATCATTTCTACTAAATCTTTACTCAAGAGAATTCTTAAATCTCAACTTGGGTTGGGATTTACTTACCTCATACTTGAGTAATCTCCACTAAAGCTCTCTACTCTTGTTGGACCTTAGCTTTCCCTTATTTCCTAAGCATAAACTTATTAAGAACTTAACCCTTACATAAATAAAACTCATATCTAGAGTAGGGATTCTTACCTCTTCTTGCTTAGGATCAATTCTTTGTCAAATCCCAACTCAAAACTCTCAAAAATCCCTTGGAAGATTGAGTGAGGAATTGAGAGAAAATGGGAGATGAAGAGGCGGTGGAGGAAGGGGAAATGAAGGGGTTTAGAGAACTAAACCCTTATTAGCTCATATAATATACACTCTTTCCCATTTTGCCCTTACTCTTTCTTAAAAATTTCACCTTTATCCTTTAATTCTTTACAAACTCACCCCCATTTTACACTATTCTCCATGAAATTTCCTTACATTTTACTCTCTAGTTTTCCTGCTAATTAGGGGTAGAAAGGTCATTTTACCCCGATGGAGAATTCTCTAGAAACCTCAAGAAACTTTTCTGCTGTCTCATCGCCGCAGTGAAGAACTTTCCGTCGCCCTAGTGAAACATTCCAGAATTGACACTGCCAACACAAAACCAACGTCGCCGCGGCGAAGCTTCTCCCTCGCCTCAGCGAAGGCTGCAACTCCAAAATCTGCCAAGTCTTGATCAATTCCATGGTAAACACTCAACCAAACCCAAAACATAAACTCAAGAAAGGGCCAACCAAACAACATGAACAATATACAAACTCATTTAGGGGCAATTCAGTAACCCTTTAGGCCATACCATAAACAATGGCTACATATCTCAAGTGGGGTGTTACAATTCCCCCCCCTTAAAAGAATTTCGTCCCTGAAATTCAAATGAACAACTTCGAGTAATGGTTCTGCATACCTTGCTCTACCTCCCATACTTTCATTAGAGGGAAATTCTTTGTTTTTTGAGCTCCTTGATCTCTCTGTCTAATATTTGAACTGGATGCCCCTCAAACTTAGGATTCCCAATCTTCATACTCAATACTCAAAATATGGGAGGGATCACTTGTATACTTTCAAAGCATCGAAATATAAAACACATTATTTACTCTCGTCCATACTAGGGGGTAGTGTCAGACACCTTTCCCACTCATTATAATATCTCAAATGGACTTCTGTACCTCGATGCTAACTTTCCTCTGCTATTAAACACGTCACTCGGTCGTAGGGGAAAAATCTTGAAAACACTGTAACACCCACTCTGAACTCAATAACTTTTCTCTTCAAATATGTCAAACTTGTCTATTTCGCTTGGGCTTGATCTATTCTATTTCTGATTA